ATGCTGAAGATACATGGCTTATTAACCAGACCTTTTCCTGTAACTAGAGGAATAAGGCAAGACTGTCCTCTTTCTGGCCTTTTATATGCAATTTCGATTGAACCTTTGTTAATATCACTCAGCAGGCAACTGAGCGGTTTTAATATCCCTAATAACCCTTCAGTCAAACTTACAGCTTCTGCTGACGATGTAACAGTAGTTATAAAAGACTTAAAAGATGTTTCGATTTTAAATTCCTCTTTAAACACATATCAGCACGTATCAATTGGGAGAAATGTACATCCTTATTGTTGGGTGACTGGCAGAATGCAGGACCTCCTAGTTTACCTCAGCAATGTAGCTGGCCAGAGATGGGTTCAGAAAGCTTGGAATATATTTTGGGACAAATAAATATACAGATAAGAACTAACAAGAGTTAGCAGACAAGGTAATTTTAGGAATTCTTAAGTGGCGATGGAGTCTTCCACACCTCTCGTTGGGGAGATGTTTAGTCAATAATAAATTGGCAGCTTCTATGCTATGGCACAAATTTACTGTGGATCCGCCAAAAGAATTACTTTCTAGAGTACAAAAGGCATTTGGAGATGGCTACCATTGGCTTCCTCCAGGTGTCCTTTATCTATCTGTGGCAGAGGGTGGCCAAGGGCTAATACACCTGGAGTCCAAGGTCTTAGCAATGAGGCCACAGTCACTACAGAAGCTTTTGTACGATTCTGAACCTGCGCCTTGGGTTGTATTTGGATCATATATACTGAAAGAAATTGGTGGGTTCGGTCTAGAAAAACAGTTGTTTTTAATGCAGAAGAATCTCCTGGAAAAGGTGCAGTCATTGCCTTTTAGGTTTTATTTGGGATTGATTAAGTTTTGGAGTTGTTTTAAAATTTTGAGACATGAAGATGACCATTATGGTGTTTTGGAACCTCTTTTTCAATCCACTATTTTAGTTAGACAATGTGCCATCTTCTTTAGTTACTAAGGGCCCTATCATACACCCGGCGCAGTGTGGAGCAAGACGCAGCGCAATAGTCTTTTGGTAGTTTCAGCTTGGCGCAAGAGTCGTTTTGAGGCGTTGCGCTACGCTGTTTAAATAGTAAATGCGTTAGCGCTCTTATGTGCGCCCATAGGCGTTCTGGTCTAAAAAGGAAGGCGTTCTGAGGCGGACGCTGGCGCGTTGCTATTTTGAGAAACTATAATAGATTTTTCATTAGACCAAAACTAACCCGGTCTAAACTCCGGCGCAGAGTTGCGCCTCGCTTACACAGAGCTTAATACGCACAAGAGAGCAACAGGCAAATATCTTTACATATAAAAAATTAAATATTAAGGATATATATATAGGATATAATAAGAATATATACAGGATATAAATATAAAGGATTAAAATATTACAAAACATTTTCTAGCCTACATAAATATGAAAAATCACTGCTTTTATGTCTTCTTAATCTCGGGAGGCTTTTTCAGTTCATTCATAACAATTTGCTTTTGTATGATGTTATTATTATTAGCAGTATTATTTATTATATCCATATTTATATTTGTTTTATTAAAAACAAGCTTAGATTTGCCCACCTGTCAGGTTTTAGACCATATGGGGCATGGCAGGTGTATTTGGAAATAACTCAGCATTTTGACCACACTTGGTCATTATTGTTAATTTATTCGTTTGCTAGAAATTAGAACTGAATATAGAAATAGTTTTGAAACAAATCTTTGTGCTTAACAAACGAAATTAATTATTTATAGGCTAATTGATGTCTGTGCGTAAAGGTTTCCCTATCCAAGAGCGAAAGTGAAAGTAGATCCATTATCTCTCATTCTCACGCAGTAGGTGCTCTGTTTAACAGTTTTCTGTTAAAAAACTGTTAACTGTTAACTGTTTGCTTGTGAAATGCTCAGTTTTTCCACTTAGACTTACTTTGCGTCCTGTAAATAGCGAATGCGCTCTTGGCGCGACGCAGCTGGGTCTTAAAGGGAATGGGAGATGAGACTCTAATTGGTTTATTCTCAAAACACCTATAACTCATTAAGAAAATAAACTCAACCCTTTTAGCCCATGCGTCTTGGCGCAAAGCAGGTTTTCCCGTCCGTAAATCAGCAAAAATGCGTTCTGACACGCCCTGAAAGCGTTTGCGCCCTGCGTTTTGCGCTCTGCGCATGGACCGTCAAAATAGAGCCCTAAATGTCTAAATGCTGGCTTAACAAAAGTCATTGATCTGATTACTTTAAATGGTGGCCAATGGAAACATGCACATGTAATTGCCAGTCAAACTCAGATAAAATCATTAAGAATTGTAGAACGTCTAATGAAGAATGTTAAGGCTGCTTTTCCACATAGTTTTACTGATTTTATTAATAATGTTCTACAGAGTGGATTTATCTCTCAGTCTTTTCCTGTACTTAAAGTTTTTTTTAAAGATTGGGAATCTGATGAGAATAACCACACAAAATTGCTGAAAGGGTATGGTGCATTGGATTTTAATTGCATTGAGAAAAAGGTTTTATACCACATGTGTGTGAAAATTTAACAATTGCGTCAGCTGTTGCAAAGACCAGACACTAAATGAAGTCTTGGCTTTCTGTTTCCACTGATATCCATCCATCTTGGAGGTTATTTTATAAGCCTCCTACCTCCCAAAGATGTGGGGACATTCAGTGGAGAATATTACATTGTATTATAGCTTCAAATTCTTTTGTGTCCAAGATTAATGAGACCAGTATGTCCTTTATTTAACACTCTCGACAATGTCTTTCATATGTTCTATGAATGTGTCAGACTTAAACCATTGCTTGAACTATTAGAGAATATGATTGCAAGGCTTTATTTTTTTTATTTTAGGGTTTATTTTTTCTAATTGTCTATTCATTTTTGGTTGCAGATACAAGAAATCTTGTCAGCAAAAATGCACACTTATCAATTTCTTAATTGGACAAGCCAAGCTTGTAATTTTAAAATCTCATTATTGTAAAAATTCTGTTGAAAACTTAAACATAAATACTTTGTATAAATCTTTAGTAGAGTCGCGAGTGGTGATTGAATATACAGATTACAAACATTTCAATAATATTATGTATTTTGAATGGAAATGGAGTATTGGAGGTGTTTTGGTGACTGTGTGTGATTCAAGAAAATTGGTGTTTAATTTGTAAATGTTTGTTATTAAAAAAAAAGTTGTTCATGTAAAAACTATATAATTTTTTACATTTTTTGGATGGTGTATTCAAATAATTTTTATGTTCATTAATGGTGTTGTGAAAAGTCAAAGTCTCTCTTTCTCCTTCTCCCTTTCTCTCTCTTTTTTCACTCTCTCTCTCTCTCTTTCACTCTCTCTTTCAGTATGATTGCTGATAACAGCAAGGCAATTTCTTACAAATGTCATTAGTATTCATGCTACCAGGTAACTGCAGTTCACAACAACACCATATTTACCACAGCACTGATTTTATGCACAGACATAAAACAATACAAGAAAAAGAATCATTTTAGGTAAGGCAGGTCAAAGGTGAAGTGTATATTGTTCCAGTTTTAAAATGCACTTATCCTAGCTAAATTGGGAAAAAAAAAATAAAAAAACAAGATATTCATACTGTATGCTCCTTTTCCCAAAGTGTTAAAATACTTTGGCATTTTCATAAAATGAAGTCTAGTAAATCTAAAGTCATTATTTATTTCAATTATTTACGGTTAAACAGGTGTTTACGATATTACACACTGGAGAACAAACTGGAATGATAGTAATGCATTTTACTCCAATTTATTACACATTCCCCATGTCCAAAATAGTATTTAATATATTATATAAACATAAAACAAGTCATAAAATACATGTACATAGAAGTAACTTCAGCGTTCAACTTAACGATTTTTGATGAATAAAAATAAATAAATAAATAAATAACATAACAATGACATACTGCACATTATTATAAATCTGACATAACAATAAGACCAGAAGGACTTTACTTGAAATGGCACAAGCCAATTAGCATCTACCAATTTTATATTTTAGCTACTTCATTAACCTTTTTGCTTAGCTGTATTCTACAGTAATGTAGTATTAAGTGTATTAAATACAATTAAATAAATTAATGTGTATTAAATACATTTTAACAAAATAATACTTCAAGAAAAAAAAAAAAGGTGAATGACTAGCCTGTCTGTATTCCGTATGCAATGAAATTGATCCAAATAGTTTGCTACATTACCTGAAACAGCATAATGGGGTATATGCACACAAACTTTTAATTTCGGACAGCCAGCACAAAGGCTTCAAAATTAACCATACAACCATACGTCATTCCATACAAGATCCCTGCGTTTAAGTTCTGATTTTTTTAAATCACAGTGATCTCCACTCCCTGGCTAAAATACAATATAAAGTGGGTATCAGACCAAACAAAAAGCACTGTATTAAGTTATATTTTTCGTGCCATGTCTTTAAAATACGGACATTAATTTTACCCAGTATTTTTTTAGGCAATCAAACCCCTGGTTGCCGTGAGCACCATGATGCTATATATCAGCGCACTTAACCACTGGGCTATTGCCACCGACGCCCAGGTATTTTCAATGGAATTTCTGCACCAACCTGCCGCTAATGACAGCACCTGTGTTTAAATGGTCTTTCGTCTCTTTTCATGCTTTAACAACCAAATGGATGCTTAAGTCTATTTAACTGATTATATTTGAATTACATTACAACATCAATGCTGTTAAAGGAACCTTAGGAAATTGAAAACAGTCACATAAATCTTTCACTGGAAGTTTATCATTCGCTGAAAAACACTAGCTACACCTGCAGCAACATAGCTTCCCAACCCTCAACCTCCCCAGCTCCACCTGTCAAGATCTGCAACAAGACTTGTTTCTGCTTCTTTATGCAGGAGCAGCATATATTACATTCTCACATATTTTACATTTTCATGTACTAATGTGTACTGTATCTTGTGGAAAACCGAAGCACATGTTCACTGTGTTTAGTTCACAAATCTCTACCTACCAGAGGGGGCGCTGTCACAGTCATGGACGTTACACTTCTTTGTGTTGTTTGGTCGAGGGTCGTGTTCACAATCCACATGCTCATTCTCATCTTCTAGCTCTGCTTTAGTGTTGACACATTTGACCAGTCTGCGCTGAATGCCTCCTCCACAGGACACAGAGCACTGCCAACACACAACAAATGAGCCTATTGAAACTCCCAGTCCTCTAGGGCAAATGATCTTTAATAATCTTTCATCATATTGATTCACAACCTGAAGCTAAGATTGAAAAGTTATTTACTTTCATTGATTTTATTTTTATTGTGTTTTTTTTTTTGAACTTTCAGTTGAAGTCAAGGATTCTTACACCAGCAAACGTTTAAAGTTACCAGTGTCAACTGTCTCTGACCCTTAAATTTGACCCTTAAAGATCATGCAGAAAAGCTTGAGGACTTTTTTTTACTTCAGCTTAGTCTCTTTATTAACCTGGGGTCGCTACAGTGGAATGAACCACCAACTTATCTATCATATGTTTTCCACAGCGGAAGCCCTTACATTTATATAGCACTTTTCTGGGCACTTAAAGCACATTACACATAGGGGGGAATCTCCTCATCCACCACCAGTGTGCAGCATTCACTTGGATGACGCAACGGCAGCCATATTGCTCAAGACAGCACACTACACATCAGCTGATTAGAAAAGAGGAGACAGGGTGATGAAGCCAATTAAGATTTGGGAAGGGTTAGGATGATGGACAGCGGCCAGTGGGCAAATTTGGCCATGATGCCAGGGTGAAAGCCCTACTCTTTTTTTTTTTGAAGGACATCCTGGGATTTTTAACGACCACAGAGTCAGGATCTTGGTTTAACATCTCATCTAAAAGACGGATATAGACGGGTATAGAGTCCCCGTTACTAAACTGGGGCATTAGGACCCTCACAGACCACAGGTTGTGCGCCCTCACTGAGACCATTAGGTTTCACTGAGAACAACCTAGCTTTCCCATGTGGTCTCTCATCCATGTACTGACCAGGCGCAGCCCTCCTTAGCTTCAGTGGGCGACCATGTGAGAGTTGCATAGAGCTAGCTGCTGGTAGAAGAGGCTCAAATGACTTGATTGTACCCAAGAGAATAGACCAATGTTATCAACTTAATTGAATGATGAAGCATTGTTAGTTCATGCAAGCACATTTGACTTCAATGATTGTCCATTTGTAATACTTTCTACATTTGTGTCTGACTATCATTTGTGTGAGTAAGCCGTTATCTGCCTTAATCATTCAATATCTGGACAGAAAATAATAAATAAGAGATAATTGTAAATTTCTAAATAATCTTAGCAATTTCGTCCTCCATTTGGGTTGCTGCCATTTTTATATATTGGCGCAAAAGAACAGGCACATATTCGAAGCTGGTAAAGTTTTTTGTTTTTTTACTGAAAGATGTTGTGAAGGTGGTTTTATAAGGGAATTTGGGAGATTTCTTATCATATTTAGTTAACTGTAGAATCTTATGCAGTAAAGAAGTGAAGAGATCGAAGCTTTTTCTCTGCTGCACACAAGATTTTTGGTGTAAAGCTCAATCGTCTTATGTAACCAAACAGATGTTCTTGTGTGCAAGCCAGCAAGCGTAAGATTTTAAGTAAAAGTTTATTTATATATATATATATATATATATATATATATATATATTGGCACTTGACTAGCACAAAATATACAGGCTGCTTTCATTTGTTTGGGAGTTTGCCAGTCACTATCCAGTCATATCTTTAGACATCCTTACTCTACAAAAGGTAAATTTAGGCTAACCTAATTAATCAGAAGTATTCCTAATTAGAGCAACAGCAGCAAACAATAACAAAGTTCTTTGTTATTAATTAGATAAAACAAAAAAAAAAAAAAAAAAATCTGTGAATTCCCCTAACATTATTATTCCTATTCTAAAAAATGCAAATGATTCTCTAGTTCTGCTACTCTGAGTTTGTATAAACAAATTTATGAAAATTGGAGAGTGGAATCTGTTTACAAAGTCACACCCATACACATGGGTATTTGAGTGACTCGTAGGCACATGCTCATTCAGAATTTTTCTTTGGAGTAAATCAGATCACTACTGTGGTTGTGTGCTGGAAACAGCTCCATTCTGTGCAAGCAATGATGCATTCAGGAGCAATTCCTTGAGTTAATGTGCTGCTCCTGGGCACAGAGTTGAATAGGAGTCTAAAAGAGCAGTTGTAAAGAAGCAAATCATGTTTGGTGCATGTCTTTATCAAGATATTGTTCCATCAGTGCTCTTCTGAATGAGGTAGTTTCCTACCTCCAGACACCTCCAGACCTCCACATGCTGGAACTACATGCATTGTATTTTTCTGTATTTGCTAGTAGTACTGTACATGTCTGTACTGCGAGAGTTGTCTATGGCAGTGCAGAGATTGCAACTCTCACTGTTTCAGATGCGAGTCAATTCTGTTACTAAGAAATATGCTTTCTCAGTGGGATAATCACTGGAGATCTGGTGATTACGATGGGAGTTGTTCAGCCTGGTAATCACTTATTGGATTCTTAGTCATGCGCCTCTCGTTCACCCACAGCAAGCCCTGTCAAAGTTTCAGACTAGATTGCTGGCCAGTCACGTAGTATGGTCACTTTCTTTTGATATGGAGGATTACGTGTCCCCCGCTCCATCAGAGCAAGCTCTCTTTTAGCCAGTCCATTCACAGTGCAGGCTGCCTGCTGAAAGTGCCTCTGCCTCCTTGTGAGCTTGGTCAGCTGAATTTAGTTATTTAAAGTTGGGCACAGTAAACAATGACTCGTTTCCACTGACTGGTACAGTACCGTACAGTTCCGGTCAGTACGGGTCACCTTTATCAGGCTTGTGATTTGATTATAACTGCAGATCAATGACAGTGCAAAATAGCCTACTATAACGTCTGTAATTATATAAAATAAATAAATAAATGAACATACTGTATATGAACACATACAGCACCCTACAGTCTCCGATATGTTACCAACTACAGAATAACTACACACATCATACATTTCGTTCTTATAGCCCACAGTCAGTGCAAACCTCTCATCTGTGTCTGTAATCTTCAGCAGCACATGTAAACTCTGTTAGAGAGTAATTCCATCATTCCCAGTTCATATTAGTCTAAAAGGTGATGATAATAATTAAAACAAGGCAGTTTGTTCACGTTTGCTGAAGAAATACCATGCTCCTTTTTTCCCGGCTTTTTGTCCGCGCTTCACTCTCGTGTTTGTCCTTTTCTTTCGGAATATGTCATTCTCGCGTTTGTCTGCTTCTCACGGGATCGGGTTTCCAAAGCACGTCAATAATCAAGCGCACGTTATTATTATCAGCTCAAGAAGTTTGTTATTTCAGATATAGACATGCGGCGAGCGCAAGGAAGAAAGCGAAACCGCTCGGGTGTCAGACTGGATCGTAAAAAAAACTGCGAACCACAGGGTAGATTCTGCTCTACTCCATGGCTGTGTGGCTGTTCATCAGGACGATGATATATGAATATATAATTCCGCTGTAATCTCTCGCTGTGTATTTCAGACATGGCAGGTCCTTTGTTTACATTCTGGGTTGTTGTAAGTGAGTGACGTATCTCTGTAAACCAACAGCGTTCAGCTGCGCGTCTAGCTCTGCCTTTTGGTATCGAAAAATTGGTACGGTACGGTATGGTTTGGTTCGTTACGCCTTTTGACAGTGGAAACAGCCATAAAAGCATGCCAAACCAAACCGTACCAATCAGTGAAAACAGGCCATAACATCCATTTCCCCATTACACATTTCCCAGAAGGGCACCAGGAACTCACTAAGGCTTGAAGGTATTTTTACTGCCAGACCAGTCAGCTTCGGATTTGTGAATCGGACTCAGGCTGCATTGCCATATCTACTGGATAGAAATGTTGGCAGTATGCCTTACCTTAAATTGGTTTAGAATAATTGTTTTTTTTAAGTGAGACTTCTCGCAAAAACCCTTAATAAGGTTAGGAAGAATTAGAAGCAGGTCTTGCAGATTGCACCACACTGAACTCCCAAGAACTCCTGAAGACAGCCTCTCCTTTTGCTCTTAGGGATGGGAGCTATTCATCCAAACATCCATGTGTGGTTTTTACATGAGACACAGATGGCTCAAGCCCTGTCAACAAGACATGTCAATATCCTGTACTGGAGTCTATTTGTTGAGTGGTGTTCTTTTTACTAAAAAAACCCAGAAAATTGCTGCCATCCTGTCATCCTTCCTTTTAAGAGTTCACACTTAGCTGATGATTGATTATGAAGCGCTGTCCAAGGAGAAAGCACTTAGCTCGTAAGATCCTAGAGCCCAGGGCTTCCTCCTGTTTGCAGAGCGAGAGGGGAGATTGAGCTTAGGTAGATCGCAGAAACTTCCCTGCTGTTTGTAGCTCATGAACAATTAGAGATTGGTATAAAGAGATAACAACTTACAAGAAGCATTTCTATAGAGTTGATTTGGATCAGTCAATTAACTTAAGTTGCATGCTTTTGGACAGAGGGAGGAAACCGGGAAACCCAGGGGAAACCCACAGGAGCACAGGGAGAACATGTAAAATGCACAGAAAAACGTTGACTGGCTTGGTAAGGACTGAAACCAGAGACGTTATTGCTGTGAGGCAACAGTGCAACAGTGTGAGGAATCATCTGATTGGTGAATCATGAATGGGCTAATGCGGGACCAGCCATGATCAGTCACAAGCATTGGATACTCTCAAAATTATAAATAAACTTCACCTAGGAGTGGTGGAGTAGAGACTGTCACTCTAAAGACTAAATGTGTACTCACTAACATCTCTGCACTACATAGAGCATGGAATCACTAACTGAGTATCTGATTTCTGAGGAACTACTGGAGGTTAAAGCCTTCTAGGTTACCTCTCATGCCCTCTTGGGATCTTCCTGTAGTCCTGCATGTCTATCTAAAGATCTCAGTTCAGTTGAGCTGATATTTCTGTCGCTTAAGACAATCATTGCCAACCATGACCTCCGCAAATCATAGCTCACTCTCAGAGGTTTTGTCTGCTTCTTGGCATTAGTGAATGGTGCCTCTTTAAAGATATGTAGAGCTGGAGACTGGTTGACACCAAATACAGTCTAACGATTTCACTATATCCAAGTGGAGCCTGTACTGTCTGTAAAAAGAGTTAAGTTGGTCAGAAACTCATCCCGGGGATTAGTGCCTCATATGAGAGATTCCCTACACATGCACTCCCATATCTGTATTTTTTTTCTATGGAAAACTGTAAACCCATGTCTTACTACATACATACTGATTCCAAGATAAGGTCAGTCTATATGTGTTCTGACACAGTTGACACATACCCCTTGGGTAGTATATAGTATCTAGACTATAGGGCATAGAAATAGAAACTTTCCCTTCGTGAGTAGAACGATTTCTCAACATACTATCTTACTAAACCGAGTGCTTTACCCAAGCTAGGCAAACTCATTGTGACTTCACGCTAACATTTCAAATTTATATAAAAATCTCCTCTGAGGGCATTGGGTGATTATGCCTTTGGTGGGTCCTTTTATGCTCATATTAATTCTTTGCAACATCACCCCCAAACAATGGTTTCAGTGGTAGTTAGGTAATTAGTAAATGAATACTAAATGAATGAATACTGAATAAAAAGGGACATCATGTATGTATATAAATCTCATGCCCTGAAGGAGTGAATAGAGAACACCACAACTCTGAACCACAGCTGAATACGGAGCTCTGGCCTAGATGATCTGCAAAATCTTGAATAAGTGGCAGCCTATGAGCAGCTTAAATAACCATACGTATAGGAATAGCCTTTTATGCAGTTCCCACTAGCAGACAAAATCTCAAAAGTGATGGGTCTCCAACATAACATCTTCTTTTTCTTTCAAAGAACAAGTGTTGCATATGTAACCAAGATGTTTTCACATGATTGCATGGATTTCAGATGAAAATGTTACTTAAAAAACATCTTTTATTTGTGTTCTACATCATTTGCATGTCCTTTGATGTGATTGTCCATGTGGTTTTTCTGGAAGTGTTGTTAACTTGCAACAATTACATCATTCAACCTGTATGCTTCCTCAAGAGTGATATGGCACTCACTTGACCCCAGGATCCAGTTATCCACTGGTTGCATGGATGGACATTGCAAGACTGGATGGAGCTGGGCTGCAGGTCCTCATCACATCTCCCAGTTTCTGGGCAAGTGACCAGTCTCTGCTGTTCCCCCCCTCCACACATCTCTGAACACTGTGGGCATAGATGGTGAAACAATCAAGCTGTTAACACCTGGCAATAAGATGCAGTTTTGGTTGATTGACTGGTTAATGATGTTTAAATCTGCCTCTATTGTCCACTTTCAATCACGTTTCTGATAAGAGAGGGTCTATGGGTAAGAGTATGACTAGATTTTTCTGATCTTTTGTTCTAAGCTTGCACATTTTACATAGGTCTACTGTACACACACACACACACACACACACACACACACACACACACACACACACACAACATTTTATTTAGTTTGTTTAGATTTAATTATGACTTAACAATGAGTTTTGGTAAATATTTTTAGTTTAAAGTAAACATACTTTAATTAACTAATGCAAAATATATGTATTAAAGTTCGTTGTTGTTGATGGAAGAAGAAGACAGGGTCGGCGATTCAGGTAAGCAAACTGTTTATTAATTTTAAATGCCAACACACATGTAGCAGGGTTTGTGTTTGTGTGTGTGCTCTCTCCTCTCCCGACTGCTCCTCCCGTTCTCCTTAAGAAGTGAGTCTCTCCGGCCCAATCACTAGAAAGACAGGTGTTATTTATCATTTCTGATTGACCTGCTGATAAGCCGCCGGGCTCCTAACATGCTCTCCCCCCTTATTGGGTGTTCGATCCCGCTTACCTCTCCACAATATAATTTAGCATTTCTTTTATTCCCAATGAGGTCATAATGCATCATTTATATAGTTGTAATATATGTAATATTAGTTGTACTATATTATTTTTCACAGGTCTGATCATGACTGAAATCACATAACCATATGGTGATTGCATAAAATAGATTAATATAGATTGATAAATAACACATTAATAATTTAATATAGGGCGATGCAGTGGCGCAGTAGATAGTGCTGTCGTCTCACAGCAAGAAGTTCGCTTGGTTGCTGGTTCGAACCTCAGCTCAGTTGGCGTTTCTGTGTGGAGTTTGCATGTTCTCCCTGCCTTCGCCTGGGCTTCCTCCGGGTGCTCCGGTTTCCCCCACAGTCCAAAGACAAGCAGTACAGGTGAATTGGGTAAGCTAAATTGTCCGTAGTGTATGAGTGTGTGTGAATGTGTGTGTGGATGTTTCCCAGAGATGGATTGTGGCTGGAAGGGCATCCGCTGCATAAAAACTTGCTGGATAAGTTGGCGGTTTGTTCCGCTGTGGCGACCCCGGATTAATAAAGGGACTAAGCCGACAAGAAAATGAATGAATGAATGAATTTAATATATTAAATAATACATTAACAAACCTGTACTGTATTAAAGAAATCACTAGTTTATAGACTGCAATAGAGCTGCTGTTTGAATAGAATGTGCAAGGAGACTTTTCATTCATTAATACATTTTCCTTTGGCTTAGTTTATAATTTTTCAGGGGTAGCCACAGCAGAATGAACCGCCAACTTATTCAGCATACGTTTTACACAGCGGATGCACTTCCACCCGCAACCCAATATTGGGAAACACCCATACACTCTCGCATTCACACACATACAATACAGTCAATTTAGTTTATTCAATTCACCTAGTGTATGTCTTTGCACTGTGGGCGAAACCAGAGCACCCAGAGGAAACAAACATGAACATGGGAAGAACATGCAAACTCCACATCGAAATGCCAACTGGCCCACATGGGACAAGAACCAGCAACCTTTTTGCAAGGAGACTATACCTTCAAAAAATAATGCTAGTTTATTTTTGTACAAGAAAAATGTAAATATATAGCTGTAAATTTTACAGAAAACTGTTGGAATTTAAGCCTTTATTAAACGATACCCAAGTGATATTCAGAGACTTTAAGGTAGCATTGTTATTTATTACTCAATTTTTTATAAATCCACTAAACTATTTATTGGATTGTAGTGTGTGAACATGAAACAGACTACAATACAGAAAGCAACAGCATTCATTTCTACATTTCATACATTTTTAAAATTTCAAGCCACTTCTGAATGCTAAACCTCTTTACCTGCCCCCAGGATGAGGTGTACCAGTCCAAACAGCTGTGAATGTTACAGGGGATTCGGACAGGAGGTCTCGGAGAGGTAGCTTGACAATGAAATGGCCTCAGCGACCTCTGATCTCTTGTGTCGTGACACTGAATCTCTCTCACTTTTACTCCTACACCACAATTCTTTGAACACTGCCAAAACAAAACATAACGGGCAGCAACTTTCGTTGTTATATTATTCGTTAAAAATAAGAATTCGTTAAAATATAGAATTCATTTAGTTTGGCTGCATGCATGCAAACTTACTTTACTCCATTCTCCAATATTCCATGCAGAGCAAGGTCGAAGGTAGCAGCGGCGTGCTGGCACTGGCCTTGTAGCTAAATCACAGTCTGATTCATCTCCACTGCTGCAGGACACTGTCCTCCAGATGGCTCCAAGCCCACAACTTGTTGAGCACTACAAATCAAGGTTGTTTTTAAGTATAAAGTACTGTTCCCAATACAAAAGCTGTGCATGAGAATGCTGAACATTCTCACGTATTAGGGCTGATTAAATTAGTACACAATGGTATTGACCATAAAATAGTTCCTTTTTTTTTTTTTTTTTTTGGTGTTGGATAGTCTTTTGATGTCATATGACATATTTTAGAAGCCTGCAAAAACAGTTTAACCAGTGATGTAAGAATGCAAACAGAATGCAATCCAATAGATATAAGAACATTTTGGAGTCGAAAGAAAGGAAAAACAGTAGAATATGTAGTGTTAGCAAACACCCTAATGTCCCCTGCACAGCTAAGACCGGTGTTTAAAAGGATACATAAATATGGGCTGTCTGCTTTTCTCTAATGACAATAAACACAACATAAAAAACTATCTCTCTGGGTCTCCTCATAGACATAATTATATTTATACTGTACAAACTGTATTTTATATCCACCTACCTTAACCTCAACCATTAGAAAATATATATTTAAAAAAAAACTGTATTCAGTGAATGAAGTGATTCTGTGATTTATGAGCTGTTTTTTTTTTTTTTCTCAAGGTGACCAAAATAATGTGTCCACAAAATCAAAAAATAATTGGTATTGCTATACTTGAGAGAACATTTGGTTCTTACAATGTACGGCACATGATGTCAACATTGCACCACACTGACTTGTACCTTAATGTTGTGGGATTTTGCATTTTGCTCGGAAATAAAAATTGGGTTTTCGTCAGAACCCAATGTCAGACCAACGTCAATGCCCAACGTTGGATAGATGTGCATTTGGTTGCATTTTGGATAAAATATCAATCTCTAATGATAATACAGCTTGATGTTGTGTGGACGTTACCAATATGACATCTATCAGACGTTGGATTTTGGATGCCATAACTGGTAAATAATTGTCAATATTTGATGTATGACGTTAGTTTAAGATGTTGACCTAATGTGATTTTGGTCACTTTCCAACACAATCTAAATCAACAAAATATCAACGTAATTTCACGTTGTTACTGGATGCCTAAATAACATTGTCCTTAGACACTGGTGATCTAAATCTAACCTAATATTAATGTCTTACAAAGTTGTAATATGGTAGTATCGTGATACTAAGGCTCCAAATTACTGGTGGTGCCACTGTAGTTTGTAAACCGTAGTATCGTCATTAACGGTCTATCTACGATACATGTTGCATGTGTGCAACACGTTTGTGCAACAATAGATCATTTTATTTGAATAGTCTGTGGAGCCCATTATGGTTGCAAAATTTTTATGGTAGCCTTGTATTGCACGTTTTCTAACATTTTAGTTCGAACGCACATCTGAATCAGCTCATTTCTGTTCCTGTCAATATGATTTAGTATAATAGTACAACAACCGCAACAATCTCTTAAAAAGAAAAGTCAAACTCATAAAAAATACAAAAGAGCAACAACAAACATTGAAACAATTTTTGACCAGTTCATATAGCATATTTTGTTGTAATAATACTCAATTTAAGTAAGCCAATGAGATATAAAGTGTAGTATTTCAGACAGTTTTCCTCATTTCATAGATTTGAGTTATGAATTACAGTAGCGCAATACTACTTGGTATCACGATCAGCTGGTATAGTATCATGATTTGAATTAATGGTATCATATCACACACACACACACACACACACACACACACACACACACACACACACACACACACACACACACACACACACACACACACACACACACACACACACACACACACACACACACATAGCAATAGTAGTAAAGAAAGCATTGTGCTCAGTCCTGGTCCTAGAGATGTACCTGGGTACAGAGTTCAACCACAACCTTGATCATCAAACACACCTGTCTTTAATTACCAAGTGCTCCTTTAGATCTTGTTAGCTGGTTTAGTTGTGTTTAATAAGGGCTGGAGCTACACTCTGTAGGAAGGTAGATCTCCAGGAACAGGGTTGAGGAGCCCTGCATTAAACCATAGCAACATTAAAGGGATTGTTTGATTTAAACAGATTTAAGCTTGATTCTGGGGCTGAATGTTGGAAGGGTGTCATGAACGACAGTGAGTGGGGTGGGGGTGTCGCGGATGAAAGTAAAGAGTTCGGGAGTCGTGGAAGAAAGTGAAAGTGCAAAGGAGGAGGAAGGCGGTTGAGGAGGTGATCTGTAAAATTAGGTGCCGGATCAGATTTCAGAGGTGCCAGATCCGTTGTGTTCCGTCACAAATTTAAGCCCTGTCTTCACCTTACTATCTATTAATTAGAATATATATGGATTAGCATAGAAAAAAAGCTCTTTTTGCAATGAAATTTCAGATGGCACTTAGCTCTTGCATTCAAACTTAATATTTGCTTTTGATTTTCAGGTTATGAAACCAGTCTGCACGCACAGAACTTCAACATGATGTCATACTGATGTTGTACCACAACGTACCCTAACATAGTGGAATGAAGTGAAAATAGGGTTGTCAGAACCCAATGACAGGCTGACGTCAATGTACAGCTCCCAACCTAAAATCAATCAAATATCAACGTCAAATCATGTTACACCTTGATATTGTGTGAACTTTACAACTATGACATCTAACAGACGTTGGATTTTGGTCACTTTCCAATGCAACCTAAAATCAACCCAATATCAGTGTTACTTTGTCTAATAACATTGTCCTTAGATACTAGCTAGACATTGGAATTTTGGTCACCTGATGTCATGACCTAAATCTAATTTTATATTAACGTCTTATGATGTTGTGTGCCGGCTTCAGGGTGGCACAGTGGGTAGAATGATTGCCTCACAGCAAGAAGGTTGCTGATTCGAGCATCGGTTGGGTCAGTTGTCATTTCTTTGTTGTAGTTTGCATGTTCTTCTCGTGATCGCCTGGGTTTCCTTCGGGTGAATTGAATAAACTAAAATGTCTGTAGTGTATGAGTCTGTGAATGCAAGTGTGTTTGGATGTTTCCCAGTGATGGGTTGCTGCTGGAAGGGCACTCGCTGTGTAAAACATATGCTGGATAAGTTTCATTCTGCTGTGGTGACCCCAGATTAACAAAGGGACTAAGTCGAAAGGAAAATAAATGAATGAATGATGCTGTGTGCTTGCTGGGCTGGACTATGTGTGCACACCATTTCAACAGCAGCAATAAAATCCCTCATATTCCTATTTGTTGCTATAATAAAAAAACAAATCTCATTACATAAAAGTTGTGTAGTCACCATAATTTGCCGAGTTTCATGATAGTGGCCCACTGAAATTTCTCAGCCCATGCGGGTTTTATATCTACAGAATGTGAGGAATGCATAATTATCTACTCACAGCACTCCAGTTGCCTTTATTCCAGTGTGCAGGGGAGGCTGATGGGGAAAGGGAGGCCATGACCAGCCCAGTGGGCATCAGAGGGCTTGAGGAATGCACTGAATGCTCACTGCTAGTGCCCTGAGATGGCTGCTCAGTAGGAGTAAAGAGAGTAGGATTCAGCCCAGAAGGTCTCGGTATTCGGCCAATAATAACCTCATTGTTATCAATCTCTGTCCAGCGAGGTAAGGGGACTGTAGTCCCCCAAGGCTCTGTTCTAGGCCCATTGTTCTTAGTTAGTGCAATGGCTGTTGAATACCAATCGTAAGTCTCCGCTGAAATGATTGTGTCCGGAATCTCAACTGGAGTAAAGATCGGGGGCTCAAAATCACTTTCCATTTCTGTAGGAGGTAGCGCTGTTGTTCCAGCTTCTGAGGTCATGCTACTGTAATGTTTGGCTGGGATAGAGGAAGTCGGAGAAAACTCTTGAGAAAGGCTGTTTGAGGTCACAGTGAACTCTCTTACAGCAGGCCAGGGTTCACTTGTCTCAGAGTTAGTTGTTGGTTCATGCTTTGTAAAGTCATTGCTGGAAACACTGCTGAGAAGATTTGATTGTCGAGTAGTTGAAACTGTTGGTGAGGCCATATTCCAATGTAATGGAGTAGTTGGATTTTGAACAGCACTGTTTTCATAGGTTTCAAACTGAAATATATAATCTAAAGGAGGTTCATAAGGTTGAGTAAAGGATGGTGGTTGAAAGCTTTCCCACTCACTTTCACCTCCAGGAACATCTTCGCCAAACTCTTCATTCTCATCTTCAGGTATGGGAATTTTGGTTGTATCTTTTAGTTCGTCATCGTAATCATCTTCATTATTTAAATTCCCCTTTGAATCTAAATCTGGTTCAGGAGTTAAAAAGGTGTCCGACACAAATTCATTTTCGTTCTGAAGGGAGACATCTGCTGTTGATAGAGGGTTCCTTGTAACACTGATGTCCTGCATTAGGTCAGAATCAGTGCCTGATGCCTTCAATTTATTAAATAACCTGGTAACTGAAGAGGTTGGTTCAGTTGTTGTAATGACAGGAAGTAAATAGTCTTCAGCAAATAGCGCATCATTATTGTCATCTGCAATGCCTTTATTGGGGGGCTTGTGACCTTCAGTACCTTTAGTAATGCTATCAGAGTACATAGTGGCCGTACTGTGTTGGTCTGCAGTGGTGCTTGGTGATGAGGTAGTAGTATTGGATACATATGTCCCTGTCAGATCTTTATGTTTTATTCCTGAGTTATCAAACGCATCATCTTCATCGAGGTCATATGACAGATCCTCATGGAATTTGATGAAGTTATAGTCGTAATAGAAATCATCGACATGAAGATTTTTCACAATGGAATTTTCAGGGGACTTTTCAATGTGATTGTAATGTGAGAAATCATTCTCTACAATGTCATTGAGGTCAGCATTTTGCCTGGGCTGGTTTTTGGTCTGACTGAAGTGACCATCATGTGGTATAACATCTATCTCATTGAAAACTTCTTTGCTGGAAGCGCCACTTCCTGACCAGTCGCTAATGTCTGTGTTTATGGGGCAGTCCTGAGCATAGCATGGCATGGTTGAGTTGGGCTTGGCTTTCGGATCACAGTCTGATCCAGTATTCCATCTGCAGGTCACATCACGTATCCGCAAACCAGTGGCGCAGCTCACTGAGCACTGTGAAAAAAAAAAAAACGAGACAGCTATTGAAAATGTTTTTTATCACACAGTTTTGTGCACATTTCTCCCAAAATCTAAAGCAAGGAGCAAGCAAAAAGTATATAGTATTTGCAACACTGAAAATACTGTTCCCAAAGTGGTCCCGACACCCTGGGGGCTCGCAGGACAATGACAGGGGTCGCTTGGTGATTTCCAAAAGTCAAATAAGTTTTATTAAGCTATTAGCATTACCATATTTTAACTGTAACCCACATCTGATAAGAAATTGTAGCTTTTAATAGTACAAAACAACAACATGCAAATAAAAAGCCATCAGGCTTACAATTATTTTTTTCATAGGACTGTGTTATCGTTAGATTAACAACACAGCGATAGCATCAACTGCAGCAGATTGATTTTATAGCAGCTGGTTAAACTTTATGGCAATCAAATACACTAAAAATCAACACAGGCCAGATTGTGTCCGCCAGTCTCTTTAGCTTAGGTTAATATTAAATTAATCAAATTAATAAATGACTATTTAAATTATAGTCTATGGTTGTTAGACTGTTGCACTTTTTGTGTTGTCAATTTGCTTGTTTTTATATAGGCCTATTGTTATATTTATAACCACCTCCAAGGAATTTTGTGGTGGCGAGTCACTGGCATTGTTATTTTAAGGGTCACAGGTGAAAAAATTTGGGAACCCCTGATATAACTGAAAAAAAAGTGATAGCAAAGTAATTACATTTAGACGTTATTTACACCAATTTAAATAAAATGACTGAGAGATAATGAGAATAGGATTCTATCCAATAGTGGAAGATATATAAAATAAGCAAGAGGTAAATGTTTTACAGTATAAAACACTTTGTAGGTTTTACTCTACTCCAGTTCGACTTTTTAGAATGTTTGGACGATGATAAATGCTGCAAACGTGAAGAGATTGGCACATACTTTCATGCATTATGACAGTGCATAAAGATTCACCCTTGTTGCGGATCTGTGTTAAGACATTTAGACGGATACCTTGGATTTAATATTCCTCTCTCACCAGGGATATGTCTTCTAGGAGATAAAACTGAGGTTCCACATTTTAAGAATGATGAGTTCTCCCTGGGTATAACTACAGCAGAATGTATAATACTGAGATTTTGGAAAGGCACTCAATGCCCTTCACTTGGATGTAATTAATGATTGAGAATGTGTCACATAAAAACATGTTAGCCATAATTAATCACAATCATAAGGAAGGTGATAGATGGCTAAATTGAATTTCTTCACTTAAACTATGAAGGTGTTCACCTTTTTGTGCCCTTTAGTGTTATCTTTATGCATTTGTTAAGGTTTTCCTAATTATAGGGTCTATTTTAATGATCTAGGCCAGTGGTCACCAAATTTGTTCCTGGAGGGCCGGTGTCCTGCAGATTTTAGCGCAAACCCTAATCAAACACACCTGAACAAGCTAATCAAGGTCTTACTATGTGTACTTGAAACATCCAGGCAGGTGTGTTGAGGCAAGTTGGAGCTAAACCCTCCCAGGGACACTGGCCCTCCAGTACCGAGATTGGTGACCCCTGATCTAGGCGCAAAGTCTAAACTGCATGGCGCAAAGCATTATGGTCAATTCCAAATCCACTTTTGCAATTTTAAGAACGGAATAATCTCTCTGTACCCCGGTGCATAGTCTAACAGGGTTGTGCTTATTCTTTTAATGAGTTATGAGTTTGTTTTAAGCATAAAGTGCATTAAACCAATCAGAGTGTCATCTCCCATTCCCTTTAAGAGTCAGTTGCGTCACGCCATGGAGCATTTGCTATTTACATGACTGACTTTGTAAGTGGAAAAACTAAATGCTTTACTAGTGATGCAGCATTAGGACAAAGAATGAGCCTCCACTATTTGGCTTCTTTACTTTACTTTTACTCTTTACTATTGTGGATAAGGAAACATATCGAAGACATCCATTAGTTTACATATTTAATTTAGTTTTTTTTAGCACAAAGATTGGTTTCAAAACTAATTCTAAATTTAGATCTAATTTCCAACAAACAAATAAATTAACAACAATAATGAAGTGTGGTCAAACAACTGAGTTATATCCAAACATGCATCCTTTTTTTATTCCCATATGGTGACGCATACAACTCCAAATCCTCACAGGTGGACAAATCTAAACTTGTTTTTATAAAACAAATATAAATATGCATATAATAAATACTGCTTTTAATAATAGCATTAAACATGCAAATTGTCATGAATAAACTAAAAAAAGGCAAGGAGGCATGAAGAAAGCATGGAGGCAGTGGTTTTTATATTTATGTAGAAAATGGTAAGTTTTGAAACGTTTTAAATCATTTGATTGTTTTCATATGTAAAGACGTTTGTGTATTGCTGTACATTCTGGGCGTATTAAGCAATGTGTAAGTGTTTTAGACCTGCATAGACATAACTAACACGCTCTGCATTGGACTTTAGACTTGTTTTTGGATAGTCAATTCTTCAAAATAGTAATTTGCCAACAATGCGCCTTAACACACCTCCTTTATAGACCAGAACACCCATGACTCCACAAAGTGGCGCAAATGAAATTGCTATTTCAAAAACGTGGCGCAAAATGTGACAATTAAGGTTGCGCTAGTCTGAAAATAGTAACAAATTGCTCAAAACACGTCTAGCGCCTCAATGTGCCAGGTGTATGATTGGGCCCATAATTTCATAACTTTCTAAACTGTGAAGAATCTGTATGTAGTATTATTGCATGGTACTTCATGTTATATTAAGAGGAAACCAATTAAAACCTAATTTTCAAATAATATGATTGAGAAAAAACAAAACTACTCAGTTTAGGTTAATAATACTCCTTTTTTACAGAACAGACTACTTATTTTTAGCATAAACAAATGCTAAATGCTATTTTTTTTTTCATTTAAAGACTATTTAAAGTGGACGTGCTTTATAGTGAAAAAATCTTAACTTCCATTTCATGATGACTTTAAACAGTGAGCAGAATTATTAATGATAACCCATTCATCAACTTTTTTGTTTAGTCTAGTTTAAGTGCAAAATGTAAAGTTTTATATCAAAAATATCTTGTTTTGTAAGAATTACATGTCTTTTAAAACAGCACATCAGTAGTTATTGTGCTAAGTTGGAATGTAATAATTAACTTATAACAACAAAAACGTAAAAAAAAACTTTTAACTAATGTTGTATAACTGAATTAAACTTAAGAATATGTCTCAATGAGGCAATGCACACAACACTGAACAAGTATGTTTTAAATATTTAATAAAATACAATATATAGTTTGATGAAGTTTAACAGAGCAATAATTGTTTCACAGTATTTACAAAAATTAGATTTTTCTTCTGAAGAAAGTCTTTTCTGTTTTATTAATTATTAATTTGTTACTTAACGTAGTTAAGCTTTTAAATTGTACTTTGAGTTGGATACTAGTATCTTGATTTGTTTTGGTAAAATATCATGTTAATAGATAAAACAAATACTTTATTAGAAATTAATTATTAAGACTATAATGTTTAGAAATGTGTTGAAAAAATATATACTTTTATTAAACAGAAATGAAATTCTATTAAATATATACAGGGGGCTAGTAATTCAGCAGGGCTAATAATTCTGCCTTCAACTGTAAGTCAATATAATTGGCACACTTATATTCACTCACCTCTGACCAGCTTCCAGTGGTCCAGTCTGCAGGACAGGACACTTGCGTGTTACACGGAATAATGGACTCAGGCTTAGGTAAGTGCTGACATTCAGCAGGCTGAAGCGCTCGTTGCTCATCAAGCCCAAGGCTCCGAATACACAGCACAGTTCTCTTCCTGAGCCCCATTTCCCCACAGCTAGATGAGCACTTCTGCCAGTCTCCAGCCCACCATCTGACAACATACACACACACACACACACACACACACACACACACACACACACACACACACACACACGCACACACAAACACAGCACAGGAATCAACTCTGCTCTCCCTGCCCTCATGATTGCCTTTAAAAGCCATGTTGTGAGCTGCTGCCGATGGGTGTGCAAAGTCAAATAAAACTCACATGGCAGGACACAAGCCCTTATTGCAGCTAGTTTGCTTGTCATCTGGTCTCATGGATGCATCACAGTAATGCTCCTCAACAATTCCAGACGTTTTCTCCACACAATGCACAATTTGCCTTTGCATACCTGAGAGAAATACAAATTGAAGAGCAGCTGTTTAGAAAAAAAGCCCATTTGCAAGTGCACACAAGTGTAGACTTGACATCTGGTGATAGCACAGAGTTCAATAACTCGATTTCCTGGCTTTAAAACTGAGCCAGCTGACAACTGTACCACAGCTTGCCTTCTTATGCAAAATTAATAAATGAATATGGATACAGCACAAAGTACATGGCAAATAAACTAATCATCTGTGGAAGACATTATCCTTAAATTTCCATTTAGTTAATAGGCTTAAAGTATTGTGAATGGGACACTGACAAAGGATCCAAATGGGTTTATTGAAAAGAGAATGACTAACTGTCAGACAAGCAACGGTCAACACAGGGGCAAACAGATGTATAAGTGCAATCCAGAGTCGTGGTCAAGGCAGATGATCAAAAGGCAGGCATCAAACAACATAAACAAACAAACAAACAAACTGGGCAAGGTTCAAACACGAAATGCAAGACAAGGAAAATGCATTGTAATGTTCACAAACAGTATAACAAGAGCCTGGATGTGTGTGTGTGTGTGTGTATGTGCTGTGTTTAAAGTCCTACTAATGAGTCTGACAATCCTCTGGCTGTGTGTTTGCAATCAGTCAGGATCAGGAACCTTTATATTTCTGTTTTTCCCCAACCCCCCACGAACTAAATCATATATATTTTTTATGTTTCTGTTGTCTTTGGATTTGTGGGAAACCGGAGCACACGGACGAAACCCACACGAACACGGGGAGAAGACACTAATATAAAGAAGACTACATTTCCTAAACTTGATGGGCTTACATTTAGAACATTTTGTATGTTACAGTGAGCCTGCAATGCATTAAAACTTCTCCTTGCGAGCAACAATTGGCAGTAAGCACATATTCTCTCTTTCTCACACATGCGCGCGGTCAAGCACAATTTCAATGTATAAGACAAATATTTAATTTCATGTTAATAGGCCTAAATAATTGCCTATATTTTAAAATATATTGCTACACATGTAGCCTACTGAACAATCAGCAGTTTTCGGTCAGCCTTCTCTCTTGCTTTCTTGCAAGCCATTTTATTTGATTAGTATGTTTAAATTATTATATGTTTGAACTCTAAAAACAAATGCAACTCACTCGCTGAGAAACGCTGTGTCTCATTTCAGAGCTCTTTCAGTTCTCGAAGTTGACATAGTAGCACACAACACAATCGATGAATCTACGCTCGACTTTTACCGTTTCACAACAGAAGCGTGCACGAGCAGTTATCTAGAATATTTAGACTGAACTCAGATTAGTTAGATCAAATGATCTTCAACTTGTTGTCATGGAACCAATTTAAGCGTGGACGTTTAGTTCTGCTCACTGAAGTCAGGCTTTTGACTTTAATCACCAAACGACTTTTATGAAATAGCTCCCAGGTCTGGTGGAAGCATTTTTAGCTTAGCTTAGCTTAGCATAGATCATTGAATCGGATTAGACCATTAGCATTGGAATTTAAATGAAGAGGCAACATATTTAAATAATATTAACTAATATCTCAAACTCAGCTGTCCTGTAATTGAAACACTGTGATTGCAGTAAATCTGATTTCAGAGTATACCTTATTCTTCTGTGTGTACCCTTAGGAGCTAAATTGACAGAAGAAAGTGGACGAATAGCTCATCACGTGTGCTCTCCTCAGTTCCACTCACAACCTCAGGCTGATGCAGACCTTTTTTATTTGTCAGCTTTGAGAATCAGAGACTTCAACATAGAGATGAAGGGACCCACAGACCAGAGGCTTTACAGGTTTCTGAGAAATCTTATTAGATAAATCCTTGAACAGATGGGCCTCAGAGTGAAGGTGTCAGACTGCACTGATAGCTGTGACCATTTCAACATACACACACAGATAGTATGTGCACAGAATTTGCAGCATTCCATTATTGGAATAAAAAATGGATAGATGTATTACTTTGTCCCATATGGAAAGGTTTATAAGGGTAATAAAATAGAAAAAAAAATATAGAAATTACTAATATTGCAATTAGGAAACTTTGCAATTGATAGACGAACAATTCAACAAGTCTCAATCAAGAAAAACATTTGGAGTGCATATTTGATGCATAAGAAATTAAAATGCACAGCTATATATCATTACTTCTTTACTAGAAGGAAGTAGGTCTATAAATTATAAATAAATCAGAAAATATTTTACCTGCTGTGTTCTCCCAGTGATTGCTCATGTATCTGTTTACCTCCTCACATGTTTTAGTGCTACTGATTCATGTATAATATACAGGTGAGCTCGTGTGTCTTCCTTTGCTTATAAACTTGTAACGTAACACTTGTGATCGGTTCATATGATTGGCCAGATTACCGATCAAGTCATAAAATGTGATTGTTGCAGGCTGATACTGATCTTTTATCTCGTAACATCCCTATATGAGGTGCCGTGTAGGATTTAAATCAAACTTTGATTATCAACACATGCATAAAACACATGCATATACACCTATAAATTACTCGCATATACACCTATACTACTGGATGTTCAAAACAACATAGATGAAACTTGTGTATATACATATAAACTTGATGCATGAATACACCCACGTACACACGCACATACATATAAACTCGATCCTCACATAAAAACCCACATTAATACACGCACATACATACAAACTTGCTGCATGCAAACAGTCATACACACTCGCATATACATATAAACTTGCTGCATGCAAACACACCTATTCACACTCGCACATATAAACTTGATATATGCATATGCACCCATAAACTCTCACATAAGAATGTACACTTGATGTGTGCATAAACACCCAAATGACACTTGTGCAAACATACAAAATAAAATTCACTAACATATATACCGTTAGTTGTGTATATACATATACGCAGGTGATTTCATATGTATGCATGAATTTTCACTGTAAAAGGAAGTTATTTCACTTTAAAAGGAAGTAGTTTATTTTCAACATAAAAGTCCTTTGAGCATAATGAACAAGATTATTATTTTTCATGAATCAGGGTATTGCAAAGCTTAAGAAACAGAAATAATGCGATTAATAGAGGAATTACATCTGTTGAATTATGAAAATAGATTATGCTAATTCTAAAAAAAATAAATAAAAAGATAATGCCAAGGAATGCTCCTGCAAAATTAAAGGTTTATTATGCAATTAAATTATTGGAAATGTTATTATGGTTTAATAAATATAAGGTTGCTTTAGTAATCATTTTGAATTAAATATGTTTGTTTAAAATTATTTTTTTATATTTGTTTTATTATTGATGTCACTATTTGTCAAGGGTTATGATACACACGTATGTCCAGTAGGGGGTAGGAATGCACTTAAGTGGGTTTTCCTGTCACCAATGAACAGGCTAATGCACCAAAATGCTGGATGCCAGCTGCTGTAAAAATATAAGTAGTAGTTATTAAACACAAAGAGATTGTGCAGAGGATATATAAAGCTTTTCCATGGAGGTTAACTTGACAAACATGATGAACACTTTTAATCAGTTTTTTTTTTTGTATATGCTGAATAATTAACAATCAAAATGATACCAAAATCTTGCCATTTCGACACCCACATTGTAAAAACATATAAAAAGCATAATAATTATAAAAATTTAAAAAACAAAACAAGAAGACTATAGGCTACATTAACATTTGCAACAGAAAAGAGGAGTTTAGTTTGAGAATACATTTATATTTATAGTTCTGGTTGCTTTTTAAACTTCCTTTAAGGGTTCTATCTCTCCATTTATATTTGTGTATGTAATTATATAATTAAATTAAAAAGTTTAAAATAAAAATATTTCTTATTTTGAAGTCTATTTATATAGACTAATATTTTATATAACATATGTTCATAATTTAACATATTTAATCCCTCTATTAATCACATTCTTTTTTTATTTAATAAGCTTAGCAATAACCAGATTCCTGATAAACATGTTTGTGAATTTTATTTATTTATTTATTTTTTTATTTTTTGTATGTTTGCGCGAGTGTTATTTTCGGTGTTCATACACGCATTGAGTTTAGGCATTGGGGCTATATGCCAGTATAGGTGTGTTTGCATGCAGTGAGTTTGTGTATGTGCGTGTGTTGTTGTGGGTGTATATGCATAGATGAAGTTTATATGTCTATGCGAGTGTGTATAGGTGTGTTTGCATGCTGCGAGTTTATATGTATGTGCGTGTAAATATGGGTATTTATGCGAGAATCGAGTTTATATGTATATGCAAGTGTGTATGAGTGTTTGCATGCAGCAAGTTTATATGTATGTGCGTGTGTTAATGTGGGTGTTTATGCGTGTATTAATGTGGGTGTTTATGTGACGGTCGAGTTTATATGTATGTGCGTGTGTATGTGGGTGTATTCATGCATCAAGTTTATATGTACATACACAAGTTTCATCTGTTGTTTTGAACATCCAGTAGTATAGGTGTATATGCGAGTAATTTATAGGTGTATGTGCATGTGATTTATGTATGTATTGATAAGCAAAGTTTGATTTAAATCCTACACGGCACCTCATATCCCTAGAAGGTTATAGTTAATACAAAAATATGGTAATAAATTATACTGTATATATGATATTCCAGTAGTGGAATGTAGTATCATACAACCTATTGTTATTAAAAAGTTTGTACAGTACTGGGTTGACACACACACACACACACACACACACACACACACACACACACACACACACACACACACACACACACTCACTCACGCACACACACAGTTGAAGTCAGAATTATTAGCCTCCCTTTCATTTTTATTTTAATTTTTAAATATTTCCCAAATGATGTTTAACAGAGCAAGGAAATTTTCACAGTATGTCTTACAATAAATATTTTTCTTCTGGAGAAAGTCTTATTTGTTTTATTCATTCATTCATTCATTCATTCATTCATTCATTCATTTTTCTTCTTCTTTTCCCACAATTGACAGCGAGAACGAACACAGAATCATTGTCTGATTGAC